GTCTGTCTGTCCATCCGTCTGTCCATGTGTCTGTCCATGTGTCTGTCCATGTGTCCGTCTGTCCATCCGTCTGTCCATCTGTCCATCTGTCCATCCATCTGTCCATCTGTACGTCTGTCCATCTGTCCATCCGTCTGTCCATCCGTCTGTCCATGTGTCTGTCCATGTGTCTGTCCATGTGTCCGTCTGTCCATCCGTCTGTCCATCCGTCTGTCCATCCGTCTGTCCAAATGTCCATCCGTATGTCCATCCGTCTGTCCATCTGTCCATCCGTCCGTCTGTCCATCCGTCTGTCCATGTGTCTGTCCATGTGTCTGTCCATCCATCTGTCTGTCTGTCCATCCATCTGTCCGTCTGTCCATCTGTCCGTCCGTCTGTCCATCCGTCCATCTGTCCGTCTGTCCATCCGTCTGTCCATCCACCTGTCCATCCGTCTGTCCATCCGTCTGTCCATCCATCCATCCATCCATCCATCCATCCATCCATCCATCCATCTGTCCATCTATCCATCTGTCCATCTGTCCATCGGTCCGTCTGTCCATCCATCTGTCCATCCGTCCATCTGTCCATCTGTCCATCTGTCCGTACGGGGCGGGCTCATCTCCTCCGTCCCGGTTTTCCGTCTCCGCCCGCGTTGTTTTTGGGAGCGCGGTCGTTTCTTCTGGGAAGGGTCGAGGTTGGTGGATCTGCCCAACCTTGGTGGGACCATCCCTGGTGGTCCTGGCGTGGAGATCCGGGGGGTCCTGACCTTCTGCCCCCACCCCCCCCAGATGTCAACATGGAGGACCCCGATGAGAAGTCCATCATCACCTACGTGGTGTCCTTCTACCACTACTTCTCCAAGATGAAGGCGCTGGCGGTGGAGGGGAAGCGCATCGGGAAGGTGGGGCTGGACCAGGTCCTGGAGCTCTCCATGACCGTGGGCTGTCCACCCCATTGGCCACCCGACTGGCCATGGGTGTCCCATCCCTTTGTCCATTCCTCTGTCCATCCATTGGTCCATTCCTCTGTCCATCCCTCTGTCCATCCTTTGTCCATCCCTCTGTCCATCCCCAGCTCCGTGGGGTGTCCACCCCATTGGCCACCCCATTGTTCATGGATGTCCATCCCTTGTCCATCCCTTGGTCCATCCATTGTTCCATCCCTCTGTCCATCCCTCTGTCCATCCCTTGTCCATCCTTCTGTCCATCCCTTTGTCCATCCCCAGCTCCGTGGGGTGTCCACCCCATTGGCCACCCGACTGGCCATGGTTGTCCCATCCCTTTGTCCATCCCTCTGTCCATCCCTCTGTCCATTCTTTGTCCATCCCTCTGTCCATCCCTCTGTCCATCCCTTCTCCATCCCTTTGTCCATCCCTCTGTCCATCCCTCTGTCCATCCCTCTGTCCATCCTTTGTCCGTCCTTCTGTCCATCCCTCTGTCCATCCCTCTGTCCATCCCTTCTCCATCCCTTTGTCCGTCCCTCTGTCCATCCCTCTGTCCATCCTTTGTCCATCCCTTTGTCCATC